TTTTTTTTTTTTTTTTTATGTTAATTTGTTAATTAATAAATAATAATTAATTTATTAATTAATGATTAATAGCCCTGCCACTCTAGTTATACAACTAAAGCTTTTTTTATGCTATAGATCCCACTAAAAGTTATGTGCCTAAAAAATATTCAAATTATAACATGATGTTAGATTCCACTCCAGTATGCAAAAATTGGGTTCACAATTACACATTGACATAAGAAATTAAACCATATAAATCCTTTAAATTCATGTTAAATTATCAAATGAATACATCCACACATATAATATTTGATGTAGTACTTTAAATTTTTCATAGATTTTTTTTTTTATTTTTAAGGATCTATTTTTAAAGGAAAATGAGACATCCATCCAATGAAACAGCATCCATCTCAACACCTATGTGTAAAATGAGGAAGGTAAATTTATAATTTTACTATTTAAAACAACATGAGTGTTGAGATGGGTACCGGTTCATTGGGTGGATGTATCATAGTCCGTTTTTAAATAGCATAATTTTATTGAAATAAATAGAAGAGGTATATGCTACCTATGTCTTTTTCGTATAGGTTAAATATGGAAAATTAAAACTCTTACGACCCCCCCACTGATCCTCAAACTCAACCCTCAACCAAGAACCACAAGGTTTAGCATCCTTCTCACCCACCTCTTTTAGTTTAAATTCAATTTTGCGATAGGAATCAACATGTCCCGTATATATAATAAAAGTGAGAAAGTTGTTCATATTTAATTTTCAAATTCTTAGATTTAGTAGTCGTAACTCTCATATTCTTAAATCTCCTTTAAGGATTACTCACGTTAGAGAGATCAAAACTAGCAAGGCCTTGGTAAATGGTTCATCCACTTTTGGGAACCCATAGAATTGTCAACCCTTTGTCTTGCTCTTTCCGCTTGTAGTCCACAGGGAAGACCAAAGAAATGAACCCAAAGAGGATACATTGAAAAATCATAATTTTGTGAGGCCATGATTTATTATAACACAAATAGAATTATCAAGGAATGATCAATGTTCCACGACGTTTTTGCGGAATTTTGTCCAAATTGTAGCTACTACCAAACTGGAAAAGAAAGATTTGTTACTAACGTCCTTGATTTGCACTCCACATCTTGTTCTCCATGATGTTGTTATGGTGTTTTGAAACTCGGTGAGATTAACCCTTTTGTGAGTGTGGACTTTTTGTATCAAGCAAAGAGATTCTGAGAAGACCACTATATTAGTCCAATTATTTACCAAAGAAACCTCAGAATTTTCTTCCTTGGATAGACAGATTTGATCGAGGACAGCTAGTCATAGCATTTGCCTCTCCTCCTTAGCGATTTGGGTTAATGAATAAGGACAGGGTTACATTGAGAGTTTCTGTCTTAGATTTTTTTGATGATTTATCAGGGTTTTCCCTTGATTGAGATAGAAGGTAGTGTGGATTTGGGTGATTGGTCTTGACTATATGTAGCACTTGCTTTAATTATCAACAGCATGGTCTATGGGTGGGATTCTTAACTAATCTTTTTGCCTCAGAAATTTAATGACTAGATAGGACTTCTCATATTAATTCTTTGAACTCATAATGGAATAGCCTATAGCAATTGTTCTAGTTGATTTCTAATAATTGATGGCTCTTTATGATCAATTGTTCATATATGAGTAAAATCATCTTTTACTATAGTGATATACTGTTTAACTTTGTAAGGATTATATTAAAATAATTTCTCATTTATTATTAATGAATTTTCTTATTTTATGTAAAAAATGGTTAAGTGAACATCAAGGTTAAGGTGTTAAAAATTATTCTTCTACCTCTAAAAAACAAAGAAAAAAATGAATTAAATTAGAATAAATTTTTGAGTAGAAGCAAGAGGCAGAGTGAGTATAAGAAGTTCACCACGTCCCAACAACCATGTTACGTACTCAGAAAAAAAACGTCCCAACAACCATGCTGAACTCTTTGTTCTCGGCCTAAAAAAAAAAAAAAGAAGAAGAAGAAAGAAACCTGTGTAACTTCTTGCCAAATATCTTCCAGCTGATAGCTACTTAAGATAAACAACTATCAATCAATTTACCCAACGGTAGCTACTTAGTTCGACGTAAAGGTAACGCTATGGTTAAGACGATTATTTAATTTATTAAAATCATTAATAATTGTTAAATTTT